TATTTTATGACACCCATAAATTTCAAAAATAATTTTTAATCAATTTTTAATATATAATATAAATAAAATGCAAAAATTATATACTTTATAAATATTAGTTATAAATTAATAATTTAGATAAATTAGGGGAAGAGAAAGCGAAAGAATTTATAATTTCATCAATATTTAATTGTTTAAATAAATTTTTTTCCATTGAATGGTTAAATTATTGAGAAATGAATCTTTCATGGTACTACGAAGTCTTGTTTAATTAATTTAATTTTACTCATGACTCTTTCGGCAGGGAAAGCAGAAAAATTTAAAAGTAGACTATAAGGTAAAATAAATGAATAGTTTTTCCAATCTGAATCGTAAGTCCCAGAATTATCATCATCATCAGAAGAAGCTAAATAATGTATTGGTAAAAATATTTTAATTAAATAAATTTACAATTCTCAGAATCTGACAAATCTTTAGATTCTGAACCTCTAGGTCATGAGTAATAATTACATTCCCCATTTTGGCCATCTTATAAATATTTCTAAACTTCAACATTTCTTCGAAAATTTGACTTGAATTTAAATTGTAAAATTCACAGATATCCTCGATATCTTCTTTAATAATTGATTTTTCTGCCATTCCATTTGGCGTAAAATATGATGTTTGATGTAAAAATTTCATCGAATCATCATTAAATCTTTCGTTAAACTGCATATGTTGTATTTATTAAAATTTAATAAAGCTAAATTAATATTTATTACCAGTAGAGAGATAATAGGAATTTCTTGTTCTACTTTATCAAATCTCTGCTCTGTGCATGCCTATAAAAAAATATAGCAGAGATAAAAAATAAGAGTAATTAAATGACCTCAGGTTCACTAATTTTATGATCATTATCAGAATCATCAGATACTATATTTTCTTCTAACACATTTTCTTTATTATTAGGACACTTTTAAAAGATAAATATATTAATTAAAAATATTTATTATACCAATAGCATTGAATTCCCAATTTTTACTTCTTTTTTCGTATAAATAATTAAATATTTAATAAAAAAATTACTTTGCTATTTGTCCAATTTTGAGTAACATTCTTAAAAGCCACTATTTCAAAGCTTTTCTTTATATCGTTAAAATTAAGCCCACCATATCTTTTTTCTAATGTAATCTATCCATTTATCATCTCTTATATTATGCGATTTGCAATTTTTAATTAGGCATTTGTATTTTTTTTGGTTAATATTTTTAGGCATATTTTAAAATTGGAAAAATAATTTACGACAAGAAATCTCGGATAACAACCTAATTTACTAAACATCGACCAAAATTTCCGTCATATTAAATTAAATAATAAGTTGGGGGGGGGGGGTATTATTACATTTATAAACCAGAAATCACTTGATCATGATGGATGTAACAAAACAGTAAAAGAATTAAATAATAAAGAAAATTTTTAAAAAAAATTAGCCTGGGACTATACCTGTGTTGATCGGCAAGTCCAACCTTTCATTTTCTGCCATTGAAAAGGCCGAAATCCTAAAAAAAACAAATATGCTTGCCTCATTAATACCGTGTTTATCCCTATCGTTAACAATACCCTAGGCATGTTCGGAAGTGATGCTCTCAATTTCATCAAAACTATGGAAAAAAAATTGAGGCAGATCTCAGGGGACCCCAATGAAGGATTTTACCTTCGTCAACAGATTTCCCTGGAAATCTGCCAGTCCAATTTTTTAAGCATTCACTCTTCTCTAGGGTGATTTGTACCCTTTTTTTAAACATTTATAATTTTTTTTATCCCATTTCTCATTTATACATACATATTTTTTAATTCATTTTTTATATATCATTTGATTTTTTTATATATATTTTTTTAATTATAATTATTATATAAAAGTTTAAAGAATTATCATATTTTTATCGAAATATAAATTTTTTTTTTTAAAAAGTACCCCCACTCAAACTTAAGCAGTTATTTTTGATTTCCTCTATTGTATACTTGTAACTGAAATAACTTTTTTAATTTTCTATGATTTACTATAATATTCATAGATTTATTATTTACAGTTCTTAAAACCAGGGATGTGAACCCTCCTTCTAAAAAAATGGGTTCGGGTTCATTTAAAAACCCTGAACTCGAATAATTACTTTTAAAATTAGTTTAAACAATAGAAACATCATTTTTTTTAAAATACATTTTAATTGGTATTGCCATAAAAATAATTTATCATCATGATTATAATATATTCGTGAGTTTGTACTTCTCTTTGTCCTATAAATTTAATAATCCACAAACAACAATATTCTAAAATAGATATTATTATATATTATCATCATTTATAGGAAAAACTTTTAAAATCTGCTTTGCTGGGTAAAATTTAAAAATTTTTACGAAAAATGGCCGACTTAAATATAACAAAAATGATTCCACGAAAAAAATAATCAAAATTTAATATATTTTTTTGATTAAAAAAACAATTGTTTTATATAGGAACTCTTTTTAAGTAGGAAATCTTTTATAAATGAAAATAAATTACATGTTTTTTATATTATATTATTTTTAACATAAAAAAATATAGATTTTTTAAAAATTAAAAAAATTTTTTTTTTAAAAAAAAGCTTGGACCCTAAACCCTAAATTTTTAAAAAGGGTTCGGGTTTTGGTTCAGCGAAATATAGAGGGTTCGGAAGGTTTAAAGGTTTGGGTTCTCATCTCTGCTTAAAACACAAAGAAATAAGTATATTGCAATATTTTTTCAACAAATAGTATTAATCAAAATATTAGCTAAAAATTCAAATAATTATATCAAAAATTTAATGTCCGGGCTGTACAAAAATATTAGAGATTTGCGAGGCCCTGCCTGATTTATTATGTATGAATTGTCCGACGCGACTTTAATAATTTTTTATGTATGAATTGTCGGTCATTTTTCATGTAACAATTACCAGACCCGTTAGCTTTCAGGTGAGCTGGGTTTTGCAGATCTCTAGTATGGAACTATTTAACGCTATTGGCTGAAATGGCTTGATTTGAGCCGATTTTAAAACAGCTTGAATTTTTAACAGAAATATATTCTCTTAGTCTCAAGATTTCACTGATAGATGTCCAAACTTTTGTGACATCAATGAGAAAAATCTTCGGGCTTGCGTAATATTTATCTGGATAAAATATTACGTTATCCGCTTAAAATCGGCTGAAATCGAGTCGTTTAGCAACACTAATTCAAACTAGTAAATACGATCGTTGCAAATAATATTTTTTTTAAATGCGCCAAGATCTTGTTCATTTAGGATTAAATTTGGATAAATATATTTATTTTTCACCTCTTTTTTTTAAACTATTATTTTTGAACTTTCAATTCATATAACAACATTATCGATTTTAAATTAATTTCTAATTTATTCAATTATTTTCTATCTAATTTTCTATTATGATATGGATAAAATAAATAAGCTTAATTAAAATATTTTTTTATTTATATTTAATTCATAATTCATTAATATCCCAAGTAATTATTTGGATGCTATAAATATTTCAATTAATATAAATTAAATTATAAAATAATATAGGATGACATGATAATTAAATTCTATTACACAGAACACTTCCTTCAAAGATTGGGACTCTCCACACTCATGCACTTTTTGCGTCACGTCGGTTGACAGTAAAGTGCACTGCTCAGAACACAAATTTTCTAATGGCAGACACCCCCATCTCCAGGTTATTAACAACAATTCACAAAGTGCTAGTAGCCAGCATTCCTTTCTCTTTAGAACCAGTCGGATATATGTCGACATTGAAAAAAAAATAAAATTTGAAATATAAAAAAAAATCTTCTAGTTTATAATTTTCTAACCCTGACGATAAAAGATAATATTATTCAATACTTATACTCTTATAATCTTATACTTTATTGTGTTTCTTTCTTTCTTACTTCAATTTAGAAAAATATATGGTGCAGTCAAAATTATTTATAAAGTAATCAAAATTTTAAAAAAAATTGGGCCGATGAAAATTAAATTTAAATATAAAATAGAATAAAAATACAGAAGCTTTAGTATTATATTTAGGTTCATGGTGACAAGAACGACAGAAAATTATGTTCCGAATTATTTGGCAAGTTATTATTTATTAAATATAACACCCATTCTGTCGTCAAGTGCCCCGTTAAAAAGACTTTAGTTTGGCTAAAAATTTATAGAAAAAATTTTGAGAATGATTACGATCCTGGGTCGAGCCTTATTAAAAAATTAAAGCCTGTTATGTTCACTGATCTAGATACGATTTTTGACGATGTATCTTTATCTATATTCGTTTGAAAAGTATCTTTTAATAACTCTGAAAAATAATATTCATATTTTTTATTCTAAAAGTGCCATTGCATAATTTTAATTACTATAAAATAATTTTTTTTATTCAATTATTAAAAAACGAATTTAAAACAAAGGTCATATAAAAAACAACTAACGATTATAAAAATAGCGCATATATAAAAATTTAAAATAAACAAACAACTGGATAAAAATTAAATTCAAAAATAACAATTAAGAGATCGATTTACTCAGGGGTCGACTGGTTATGCTGCGGCCTAGTGGGTAAATATTTTCTAGGGGCCTCATTTTTATGGGGACTTCTCTCCATACCCTCCTTTGTGGACCTTCGGCCGGGACCCCCTTAATAGCTCATATTATAAATACTTTTATTATTTCGTTTTTGGACAAAAATGTCTAAAACGATGGGTTAAACATATAATTTGAGCATCATATTTTTATTTAAAAATAATAGTATGAATGATAATTCCATATTTTATTTCAGGAATTGTATATAGAAAATCATATTAATTGAACTATAAAAAAAATAGTTAACACTAAAATTCAGGATTTAGAAGTAATTAAAATAAGAGTGTTTTAATGAAAAGATGCAATTGCGCATATAATAAAATATTACACATAGAAAATTATTACTTATTGCAATATAAATCTAGTATATGATATTGTATACATATAAAATCAAACATATTGCAAATATAGTTTCCCAAATAGAATTTAAATAATGAATTAAACGAATATTGTATAATTTTTAAGCTAGTAAATTTTAAATTATCTCTCAACTTTGGCGCATTAAACAAATATTACAGTTCTATTTGCATCAACAATTCTTTTTCAACGGGCATCATTAAAAATGTCAATCATGTCCCACATTTGCCCTCAGCCTATTTTTTATAATTTTAAATTTATTAGATGTTCTTTCACAATTTCTAATTATGTTGGCAAAAAATATATTGTAAATATAGTATGTTAGTTGACTAACCGACGGATAACTAATAGTTAGTGTCGAAAAATTCGTTAAAAAAAAGTAACGTTTGTTTTTCCTTACTGATTAAACAAAATAGATTTTTTTTAAATATAAAAATATATCAAACGTTAAAATGGAATGTCTGATTATATTGGTTAATAGAAAACAAGGGAATCCATTGGAACTGCGAATAGAATTTCTTCAATTTTTATATTTTTTCGTTGTGAAACAGGTGTGGAGTGGTCAGTGAACCTAATGGGAAAATGTCGGGGCCTCTAAATTTTAAAAATATGGGGGCCTTTAGGAAAGAATTTTCTGGCCCTAGGAAGAAAAAAGATATTTTTTAAAAAAAATCGGTATAAAATTCAATTATGTTTTATACTAAATAATTTTAAATATTAATTTAATTTTTTGGTGGGATTATAAACATTATAAGTGCCATAAAAATATAAAAAGGAAATCAGATTTAATAGTGGAATAATAAAACTATTTCCCTATTTTCATTAGTTGTTAAAATGTGGATCCAATAGAAATTAAATAAGGAAGACATTTTATTTGTATATTGTCTTAAAATAAATAGTCGCAAGTAAATATTTAATTAATTTATATAAATATACATGAGAGCGACAATATGTTTTTTTTCTGTCAATGTTTCGTTTTTTCAACTTTGAATCATTTTTTGAGCCCGTTTTTTTTTAAGTTTAAAAATCTGATTTCACCTAAAATGTATTCCACCAGGTTTAGAATACCTACCCTCTGAATATAAGACAATTTAGCTATGAATTATTTAACTTAATATATTTTATATTTAATTTCAACTCATAAAGATATTCTAAACATGCTGGTGGAATACATTACCGATAAAATCAGATTTTTAAATTTAAAAAAAAAGCTCTCAAATAATGATTTAAAGTTGTAAAACACATTGCCGGGAAAAACCCATTGAGGCTAACATATACACGCAATATTTACAGTTTATATATATATAGAAAATAGAATATTATTATTATATGTATATAAATGGACCGAAATGAAAATAATAAATAACACAAACAAAACCAAACCCCGTAAAAATAATTATTTTAATATTGAATATAAATGTATTATATATATAAGATAGGATAAATGTTTAATATAAAAAATGAAGTTTCCTTTCATATTCATTTTAATTTTGCCATAAAAATAAAATATTTTTAATTTACAAAACATTTATTTTAAGTTAAAATAAAAATTATCTGGTCTTGCCTTGAATCAAATATTGGCTGGTTGGATTATTTTTACATGTGCACTAAGTATATTAAGAAAATTTATAACCCCCCCCCCCCCCTCTAACTAAGGTGAACCATATTTGTTAAACTCTTATAACATAACTCAAAAATGTTTAAGGATTTTCCTGTGTTAGAATAGGAAGTTTGGGAAAATTATTTATCCAATCATCTTTTTACTTAAAATATATTAGAGGTCTAAATTTTATCTGATAGAGATCATTAAATATAAAGAAAGAATATACAGTTATCCTTAATAGCTAACGGTATAAATTTTGGCCTTTATCAAGATATTTACGAACAAGGAACTTAAACATTTTAACTGCCTGGAAAATGGTTGAAGATTCTAAATTTTCTTTCAATATATATAAAAGCTACAAATATGGCTTCATCAATAAAAATTTGTCGATTTGGTCATATGCACTGAAACTGAAATACCGCAGCATAGAATTAGTCGTAAAAAGAAGATATGTTTTGAGAAATGTTCAAATGAAAAATGGCTCCCTTCAAATTAACAATTCTAAGTATTTCGTGACCAGTCGGGCAGGACTTTTATTTCTAAACTATCATGCGGACCATGCTGGTGTGGATAAAATATTACTCTCACTTCTCACTAAAATTTTAAAATGTTTATTTTACAAATGCTTATATAAATATTATTTTCCAAGAACAAATAAATTTAATGAAAAGAAAAAGTAGATGTAAAATACCAGATTACGAAAAACATTACAAAAATAGCTCGTGTAATATACTAACTGTCAAAAATTTATGTTTTTCATATTGATATATATTTCCAGGTAAAAACAAAAGGATATTTCATTATAAAAATTAATTTTTTTATTATTTTTATTTTATTAAAAATTTATTATATTAAAATTTTTTTTTTTATATATTGATAAATTGCCCATATAAATATATATATATATTTTGATAAATTAAAAAGAATTATAACAAATCGTAGAAAAAATCTAAGCCTTGACCAATTTCCCATATAGCTAAATTAACGTTTAATTCTTCGGCAAGCTTGATTCTTTGTGCGATAGAGTATAGGGACGGGTAAAACATAGCTCTAACATCGTTGTTTACACTATATAAAAAAAATCATACTGTGTAAAATTTTTCTTATTTATACTAGATAATTTTTTTTATTTGAATTTATATTATTTCCAAATCTAAGATTATGGGATAAATATTTTACAGCGCATTTAATAAAAATTCTTTTATTATTAACTTCAATTTTTAGAAGCTCTTTATTTTATACCATATATCTATAGGGGTGGGGGAGTTTTTTTGAGAGCTGTTAGGAATGAAGAGGCGTAAATGAAATTCCATTTAATATGTTTGCCTTTCGACCATGGATTGGCTGTAACTCTTTGGGGGTAAAATCGTCATCTACCGACAAAAATTTAGGCTTTGAGGGTGTATTGTGTAATTATGAGACTGAGTCTTAATAATAGAATGTCTTTAGAAACTACCTTCGCTATTGGAAGATTTACTTATGAGTTCCACCCCCTTGTTTCACTTTCTGCACCTATGGGGTAAAAAGAGGTCATACACAGTCGACAGTCGCTCCTAATTATTCATTTTATAAGAAGGTATCTCATCATAGAAACTACTTGGATTTAACAATTCGAATTGGAAACCATTTTATATTGAATTTCATCTGCGGCTTTTCTTTCCAGTAGCCATGAACTCAAAAAATAATAATCGCCCTAATTTTTCATATATAAAATATTGCTAAAAAAATCAATTAATAAATAAGTGAGAGAAAATACGATTTAGGGTAAAACAGATGTGCTTTCAAATTGGGTGTTACATCAATGTTAAATTGAATAAGTATTTCTTTAAAAAAATGATCTACAATTTGCAAGATATCATTTGAAATAAAACGCAAGAACGTCTTAGAAACATAAGGATATTTATTGTCGTGAGAAATCAGTAAATCTGGGTTATTAGTGCAATTTAAACTTAAATCATATATGAACGCACGTTTTTTAAAAGCTAAATCATTTATGAACGCGTGTTTTTTTTTAATTTTAAGGATCTGATTTTGCCGAGATTGTATATTCCATCATGTGTACGCATTATTTAAAAAATATCAATGAATCTATAAGTCCTTTAGAAAATGCCGAGCAGCAAATATTGGCCCTGTAATATTCTCCCAGATATTGAATTATTTCCTAACATTGTCATTAGGGGTGGAGAAATCATGAAATTTTTTTTACTCAATGTTAAGCTCATTAGTCAAAAATGTTGGATTATGCAAATTTTGTTAAAAGATAATTATGGAAAAAAATTAATTTAAATGATGGATTTTTATTTTATGTGTTTATTTCTTCGAAAAATTATATTTGTATATGCAAAATAAATTTTACATTTTTTTATAGTTTATGGAATAAAATTAATTTAAATGATGGATTTTTATTTTATGTGTTTATTTCTTCGAAAAATTATTATTTTAATATGCAAATACTTATGTTTAATGGCTATAAAAAAATATATAAATAGCTAAGAAAAATAATTATTTTTTAACGGATGATATTTTAAAAATTAATTTAATAAAAGAATTACGATATTTTGTTTCTTCGAAATTTGTGTGAAATTTAATAAAAAGGAAAGATTTAATACAGAAAAAGTAAGTCTACAATTTAATAAATTAGAATTATTAAAAAGAGTTACATTATATATTTTAGGTGTGCTCAAAAGTAAGTAGTTAGCCATCGTTATTATTAAAATTAATTCTTTATTTTAATTATATAGATTTAATACACCTTTGATTCTTAATTAGCTCTCCCAATACTGTGTTAACACCCTGAGTTAAGTTCGGACTTGTAACAATTTGGACCGAAGTAAATCAGGGCCTATTAGATATTCACTTAGGAATTCAAAGGTAAAAACAAATTTATTTTATGTTATTTAAATTATTATTACTTTTATTTATTATAGTAGTAATTTTATATTTATACAATTTTTTTAAATTATTTAAAATTATTTTAATCAAGTGGTTATTGAGTACACTGTAATGTATATTACGCAAATAAATTTATTAAGTTTAATACTTAAAAATATAAGTATAATTATATTTTTGGTGCTAATTTTAAGTTTCACGTTAGGTTTAATTATAGGAAGAAATACGACTTACGTTAAGATAGAGATTAAAGAGTTAGAAAATATTAAGAATATATTAAGAGAGGAAGATAAGAAAAGAAATATAAACAACTTCATACGAACGGATAATTACAGACAGATAAGTTGCTATAGCTGTGGTCAGCCAGGCCATATGTCGCGTGATTGTGATTTAACAAAAGATTTGAAATGCGCGAGATGTGGCAGGAATGGCCATTTAGCTATAAGATGTAGGTTAAACAATATAATTGATGTAATATTTGTGGCCAGGATGGACACACTCAAGAAAAATGTAACAAATGACTAAGAAAGAAATATTTTGATAATGAATTTAATAATTTTTTTAATGTTGATAATTTAGTAGAAAATAAGAATAAATATTTTAATTGTAATAATAAAGTTGGTAATAATAGTTTTTCTAATTTTAGTTCAGGTAAAATTAAGCATTTTAATTTTAATGATAGATTAGATCATTATAATAATTTTGTAAATGTTAATAATTGTAGTAAAAATAAGTATTTTAATTTTAATAATGATAAATTGGATAATGTTGATAATGCTAGTGCAAGTAAGAATAATTATTGTAATAAGAACGATAAATTTTGCGATGATAAAAAGTGATTTAACGTGGATAATTATAATTCAAGCGATATTAATAGAAGTGATATAAAAATAAAAAGTAGAGATTTTGAAATATATAGAATTAAAAAGGCAACTAGTGTAGACGTACTAAAGATGGAATTAGAGAATTTTTTAATGAAAAATAGATGCCCTAGAGTAAAGATAAACATGGAGGAAGCAGAAATTTGTTTTTTATTAGATACAGGAGCAGAAATTAGTTTGATAAGTATAAAGGATTTTATGAGATTTTGGCCAGAGAAAGAATTTGTTACAAAAAATAAGAGCCAAACAATTGGATGGTAGCATGGTGAAAATTTTAGGGTATTATAGGGTAAGGTTACCAAGAGTTAATAAAAGTATAAATTTGTGGATAACTACGTTGAAGATTGAACCGATTTTAGGATGGTATGATATAAGAACGTTAGGTCCAGTTTATAATTGGTGGAAATTTTTCGATACTATCCCTGTAAGTAATGATGAAAATAGTGAAATGATAGATTTCGATAGAGTTAAGTTACCTATTATAGAGGGTAAACAAGAATTAGTTCGCGAGAAACTTAGAAATCGAACAACAGAATTTATTGAGAATAGTGAAATAATAAGGAGTGATTTCGATAGATTTAAGTTACCTATTATAGAGGATAAACAAGAATTTGTTCTCGATAAACCTAGAAATCGAACACCAGAATTTTTGATTAAATATAGAAGCAACTTAGAAGAAAATAAGAAAACAAGAGATATAAAGACAATAGAGGTAAATTCAGTCGAAATTAAACAAGAAAGTAATAATATGGTAGATCAGAAGGTTGTTGAAGATATTTTGGACAAAGAGATAAAGATTATTTTGAATAGGTATAAGGAAGTCTTTAGAATTAGGTACTCTGAAAAATTTTGAAGTAGATATACGATTAGAAGAAAATTATAAACCTAAGTTTTGCGGAATAAGAAGATTACCGTTTTCGTGGATAGAAGAGACAGATAAAGAATTAGATAAATGGTTAAAAAACGGAATAATAAAACCAATAGTGCATAGTGAATGGGCAACACCTTTAGTGCCCATAAGAAAACCAGATAACAGTTTAAGATTGTGTATAGACTATAGAGTAACAGTGAATAAGTTCGTAATAAATGAAAAGTATCCACTACCTAGAATAGAACAACTGCTAGCGAATTTAAGAGGAGACACCCTGTTTTCAAAGATTGATTTTTCGAATGCTTATTTGCAAATTAAGGTGAGTGAAAAGACAAGTAAGATACTAACGATTACAACTCATAGAGGTTTGTTTGCATTCTGCCGACTACTTTTTGGTTTGAAAATATCAGCGCCAATATTTCAAAGAACGATGACGGCGTTATTTCAAGGAATAAAAGGAATAATGTATTATTTAGATGATGTTTTGATATCTGGTAGAACAGAAGAAGAACACAATTCGAGATTAGTTAAAGTGTTAGATATTATATTAGAAAATGGTTTAAAAGCTAATTTGAAGAAGAGCGTTTTTGGAGTAAAAGAAATAAAGTATTTAGGACATGTTATAAAGGGAAATGAGATTACGCCAATTGTAAAGAATATAGATAAGATCATGAATATGAGAGCCCCGAATAATAAAGCGGAGGTACAAGCGTTTTTAGGAGCAACAAATTATTATCATCGGTTTGTTCAAAATTTTGCAGAAATTGCTACACCGTTGTATGATTTATTAAAGAAAAATAAAAAGTTTGAATGGGGAGAAGCACAGGAGAAAAGTTTCGAAAAGTTGAAAATAAAGATGGTAGAGAAACCTATTTTAAGTTGTTTTAATGAGAAATTAAATATTATTTTAGTAGTCGATGATTCTAATGAAGGTATAGGAGGAGTTTTGTTGCAGATGATAGATAATGTGGAGAAACCTGTTTTATTTTTATCGAGACGATTTAGTAACACTGAGAAAAATTACTCAACGATAGAAAGAGAGGCTCTAGCAGTGAAATTCGGGCTTACGAAGTGTAAGGAATATCTGATAGGAAAAAGGTTTTTATTGTATACGGACCATAAGCCGTTGGTAGAATTATTTAAGAAAGAGAATAAGGAACTTATGATTTCACCCAGGCTGCAAAAATGGCTAATTTTAGTTGGTAATTTCGATTTTGAAATAAAATTCAGAGAAGGTAAACAAAATTGCTTACCGGACATTTTATCAAGATTGTTTAATAAAGATATTGAAGTATAGAGCCAGTAATCAATAGTTTAGATTATATAGAAGAAGAAGAAAATGTAAAGGGTAATATTATAAGAGAGGTGAGAATAGATACAAGAGAAAAACCTATAACATTTGAAATAGTAGATAAGATATCCCAACAAGATGAAGAATTAATAAGAATTAAAGCTTGTTTAAAAGGAGATATAGAATGGAAAAATGAAGATAAAGCGTTTAAAAAAGTTAAGAGTGAATTAAATATAGAAGACAATTGTTTATTGAGAGGATATAGATTAGTGATACAGAATAAATTAAGAAAGGAAACCTTAAATGTAATACATTCAGGTCATCAAGGCATAAAAAGAATGAAAAATAAAGCAAGAGAATATATGTGGTGGCCTAAGATGAATAAGGAAATAGAAGAGTTAGCGAGGAGCTTTGAAACCTGTAACATGTGGGCTAATGTTCCAGCAAAGAATAAGGAAGATAAATGGCCAAAAACAGATATTCCATGCGAAAGAATACATGTAGATTTTTTAGAATATGAGAAGAAAAGATTTTTTATCATGGTAGATGCAGGTTCAAAATGGATAGATTCAGCAAGTTTCGGGTTTATCAACAAGAGTAGCTTTAGATAAGATAAAGGATTTTGTAGGCAAATATGGTTTAATGAAGACGATAGTATCAGATGGAGGTCCAGATTTTAAAGGTAGAGCATTTGATAAATTTTGTGATAGGTGGAATATTAGACATTTATTATCACCACCTTATTACCCAAGAAGCAATGGACAAGCGGAGCGAATGGTAGCGTTATTAAGAGTTGGTTGAAAAAGGAAAAATATGGAGAAAGTCAATGGTTATCATTATTAGCATACAACAGTACGGAAACTGCAAAAGGAAAGTCACCAGCTGAAATATTTTTAGGAAGAAAGACGAGATCAGAATTAGATTTTTTAAAGGAAAAAGTGATAAGGAGAGAACAAGTAGAGAGTGAAAGATTGCCAGTAGGAAGTTTGGTGTGGGTATTGTTGTTTGATGGGCCTATTAAATGGGGGAAGGGTGTAATAAGCAAAAATATAGGAAAGAAAAAAGTAGAAGTAAAGATTGAAGGACAAGAAGGAACCTTTACAAGGCACCTGAAGCAAGTAAGGTGTAGAAGCTTAGGGCCTTAGAGAGAAATGAGAAATATACGAAGAATTAGAAAGGAATAAATTGATGTTAGACATAGTAGGAGAATCATAATTTAGAAATGAATAAATTGATGATAGACATAGTAGGAGAATCATAATTTAGATAGGAATAACTTGATGATAGACATAGTAAGAGAATCATACGTTGTAGGAAATAAAAGGGATGTTAGACTTAATTATGAGATTTATATTTTATAAAGAGTTAGAGAAGAAATTGTAACCTAGTATAGAGAAATAAGAGTCGAAGAATATATATATATGTGTATAAAGTATTTTATTTAGATGGCCTCCTATGGTAGAGTGGGTAACAAGATAATGAGGATAGAGATAAGAGACGTCGACGGTTCAGAAGAATCAAACAGATGGGTAGAAGGGAACGAGGCGAAACAAAGATACGGAGATTGGCTACAAGAAGCGCCGACGAGAGGGGGTCGCAGAATAGCACCGTATAGCACAAGAAGGAGAGTGGAATGCTGGGCGTGCGGGGGTGAACACAAATTACGGTTTTGCCCAAGTATGGAGTTGACCACGAATAGTAATTCGAGTGCACCAGGGAGGAACATGGTAGCATCGGCAAACACGATGGAGTTAAGGGAGAATTAAAGGGGGGAGATGTTGGATTATGCAAATTTAGTTAAAAGATAATTATGGAACAAAATTAATTTAAATGATGGATTTTTATTTTATGTGTTTATTTCTTCGAAAAATTATTATTTTAATATGCAAATACTTACAATGTTTAATGGCTATAAAAAAATATATAAATAGCTAAGAAAAATAATTATTTTTTAACGGATGATATTTTAAAAATTAATTTAATAAAAGAATTACAATATTTTGTTTCTTCGAAATTTGTGTGAAATTTAATAAAAAGGAAAGATTTAATACAGAAAAAGTAAGTCTACAATTTAATAAATTAGAATTATTTAAAAGAGTTACATTATATATTTTAGGTGTGCTCAAAAGTAAGTAGTTAGCCATCGTTATTATTAAAATCAAATTGTTACAAGTCCGAACTTAACTCAGGGTGTTAACACAGTATTGGGAGAGCTAATTAAGAATCAAAGGTGTATTAAATCTATATAATTAAAATAAAGGATTAATTACTTTTGAGCACACCTAAAATATATAATGTAACTCTTTTAAATAATTCTAATTTATTAAATTGTAGACTTACTTTTTCTGTATTAAATCTTTCCTTTTTATTAAATTTCACACAAATTTCGAAGAAACAAAATATCGTCTGTAATTCTTTTATTAAATTAATTTTTAAAATATCATCCGTTAAAAAATAATTATTTTTCTTAGCTATTTATATATTTTTTTATAGCCATTAAACATTGTAAGTATTTGCATATTAAAATAATAATTTTTCGAAGAAATAAACACATAAAATAAAAATCCATCATTTAAATTAATTTTGTTCCATAATTATCTTTTAACTAAATTTGCATAATCCAACATCTCCCCCCTTTAATTCTCCCTTAACTCCATCGTGTTTGCCGATGCTACCATGTTCCTCCCTGGTGCACTCGAATTACTATTCGTGGTCAACTCCATACTTGGGCAAAACCGTAATTTGTGTTCACCCCCGCACGCCCAGCATTCCACTCTCCTTCTTGTGCTATACGGTGCTATTCTGCGACCCCCTCTCGTCGGCGCTTCTTGTAGCCAATCTCCGTATCTTTGTTTCGCCTCGTTCCCTTCTACCCATCTGTTTGATTCTTCTGAACCGTCGACGTCTCTTATCTCTATCCTCATTATCTTGTTACCCACTCTACCATAGGAGGCCATCTAAATAAAATACTTTATACACATATATATATATTCTTCGACTCTTATTTCTCTATACTAGGTTACAATTTCTTCTCTAACTCTTTATAAAATATAAATCTCATAATTAAGTCTAACATCCCTTTTATTTCCTACAACGTATGATTCTCTTACTATGTCTATCATCAAGTTATTCCTATCTAAATTATGATTCTCCTACTATGTCTATCATCAATTTATTCCTTTCTAAATTATGATTCTCCTACTATGTCTAACATCAATTTATTCCTTTCTAATTCTTCGTATATTTCTCATTTATCTCTAAGGCCCTAAGCTTCTACACCTTACTTGCTTCAGGTGCCTTGTAAAGGTTCCTTCTTGTCCTTCAATCTTTACTTCTACTTTTTTCTTTCCTATATTTTTGCTATTACAAAAAAGTAAATTTTTTAAACTGTTTGAGATATTATTTCATAATTTTATATTATTTCAGACGGGAAATATAATCACTTAGAATATCGGCAAATGTGTTCCTGCCAATCTTCAGCCCAATGACATTTCGGATCGTAGGCTTTCGAGACTTCGATGTAATTGTGAGCTATAACTGGTTTTATTATCTCGATATCCTTATTATGTTTAGAAGGATCATTTTTAGATATTTCACTGATGCTAAAATCGTAACCTAAAGAAAAAAGAATTGTAAATATAATCTATTACATATTAGGGATAATAAAGTAGGATATACCATTATACAATTTTTAATTAAATATAAGGTACAAATCCTTCTGATATTAGATTTATTGAAATTTAAGAAAAATCGGACAAATATTTAACAAAATAGGTAAGATACCGTAAAAATTAGTTCCGATAAATAATTTTCTTCGCGTTACGACATCTTCATCATCTACCAGGAATTCCACGCATTTTTTTATCCAGCTGTATGGACTGTTTGGTCCAACGCTACAAAAAAATAAATTATATATATTAAAGTGATTAGGTGTGAGGTTTTCCTTTTAACTTTCTTCTTTCTTTTTTTCTCTATTTCTTAGAAGTAAAAAATATATTAATCAATTAAAACCATAAAATTTAGGATAAAAATACATTAATTAACAAACGTGTTTCATAACATGTAGTATAACCATTATTGAAGATATTCAAAGCTATTATCTTTAAAAGCAGTAATATTATTACTGGAAATATATCGGAGTAAGAGACAGATATGGTGAGTAAATAAATACTGTTTTAAAAAATTTTTGTCAAAAAATGAAAAGACAGGATAACACATACGATTTAAAAGAGATAGGGGAGATGAATTTATTAATTCGAGGTTCATCTTGCAATAAATCAATCCAGCCGGCGGCTCATAGGAGCTATTCCAAATAAACTCACCCCTCCCACTCGCAATTTTTTTTAAAAGATGAATGAATAGTTACTACTATTATCTAAATTTCTCATAATGACATGATAAATAAATATTAAATATAATTTATGGTATTATACTAGCACTTTTAGTTTTTAAATAAAGTGATTGACTAATATATAGAACAGTAAAAATTCTAGCGTTTTTAAGTTACTTTTTTAAAAAATTATATTGAAAGTAACTAGTTACAGTTAATATTTTTTTAAAGTTAGCAAAGTTTGGACCTAGGCGAAAATGAGTATTGATTCCAATCCAATTATACTTCAAAAAAAATAGGTATGCTTCCGGTTTCTAATTTTGAAAAGCGGGTTGTGGATTCTAAATTTAATTTTTTTTAAAAAAACAACCTTCTAACATTTGTGGCGTAATCGTAGGTCATAACACTAAATCTATCGATAAAAGATTTGAGATGATCCATGTCGTCTCGTTGAAATAGACCAGGTGTTTTCCTTTTATTTTATGATATATTTATTGTAGTGTGGTAAATGTAGTGCTATTACCAGTTAGAGCGAAATTCGCGGGTAGGTATACAAAATATACTATAAATATAATATTTTTGCATTCTTTTTTGTAAACTTCGCCGCGAATTCGGGCTATTTAAAAATAAGATTTTAGTCAAAATAATATATTGCAAGCCTCGAGATTTCGTTAATAGATATTCAAAGCTTTGTGAGATCTATGAGCAAAATCTCGAGGATAGCGTAAAATTTTTTGAGTAAAATAACGGGTTAGCCGTGTTTAAAAATCGAGCCTTTTAAAAACACTAATTAAATGATAAAAAACCAATTAAAAAAAACATCTGAGGATTCAAATATTTATTTTAAATAATTATATTCGTTGGAATGGGGAGGGGGGGGGGTGTAGGGGTGTACAAATAAACGCGCATATAATATTTTCTAATCGCGCAAAACGTATTTTTGTGCCTGTCTAATTGTACGTTTTTACGCGATGTAACAACTGATCGATCGTATTTAAAAAAATTACAAATTTGATAAGCTGTTTTAATAGTTGCATCGCGCTAAACATATAACTAAAAATGAGGGGGCGCTACTGGCTATATAATAATTAATTTTAAAGATATTTTAAATGCCATAAAATATATGTGATACAAAAAAAAATTTACTCGTCGTAAAAGGGTGGAGGTATCACAAGAACAATCTCTTTCTTCATTAAATGCAACGAGGTGGACAAATGATGAATAAAATGGATCATGTCACTTTTTTGTTTAAAAATTTAAAAAGATAAAATATTTTTATATCAATTTATCTATGCATGTTTTATTTATTTATTACAAAAATAAATATGATATATAATTAATGGTAAATATTTTATATTTTTTTATAACTTATCGTATTTTTTATCAAATTCATTTTATAATTGGGATATTAAATTAAGCAAAAAATGAAAGGAAAAAATAATATATTAAACCCTATCTAATAATTGGTGTTTTGGTAAGCTAGGATCAAATTTTAGCTTTTCCTAAAAGTAAATTTAACATTAGATCCAGCTCCCCCCCCCCACCAATAATTTAACCAGATTGTCAAATCAAACCGTACGGCAAACCCGAAATGAACCGTAACCATAATCAAATCGTTATAAAAAACTTTAAATGGAGAGATGGAGAGGTTCGAACCCAATATAAATCTTACGTACCTGTTTAACAAGGTCATAAATGTTTTTTTTTAAAAACAAAAAGAAATAAATAATACAAATTTAATTATGCTTATCTGTTATTTATTACTAATGTTTTTTTTTATAATGATTAAATAAAAGATATTCAACATTTTTGTTTAATTTTTAATGTTTGTTAGATTTATAGTGGGCTATTTAGAAAACATATAAATTATAATTAATTTTAAAAAATCCTAAACTCATAAAAAAAAAACCGTAATGAACCGATATGAAATTATAAACGACATAAATTTATTCAAGATAACCGGAATGTATATAAACCGTTTTAAAATTATAAATTAAGAACAGGGTTGGAACTAAACAGGAATACTTTCTTACCCCGATTTTTTCCCCCATTTTTAATTCTGATCCTAATTTTCTATATTTTACTGGCCCAAATTTGGAAATTTGGTAAATTTTTAAATAACTTTTGGCTATGTTTATATCATAAATAAATGGTAAATATATGGGAAGGGAATGAAATAATCCATCATGTGATTTTTCAGCTGGCTGATTTGATATAATTTAATTTTAAATTTTTTTGCCAAACTCGGCTTGGTCCTGCCTGGAATAAGCTCAGACTCGGGGCAGATGCGTCACCTACGTTTTCACGCAGGGGGCTTAAAAACTACATTTTTACAAAATTATGGTTCACATAAAAATGATAGGACCTGAAGCATTTCTTAATTATGCTGCTGCTATAATAAATAAATCAATAAAATTTTCAATATGCAAATTTATCAAAATTATTTTCAACCTCTTATAAAATCTTTTTTGACACATTTTAATTCTGTATGATTTTATGTTTAAGAACAGATGGACATTGACTAAAAGGAATCGTGAATGATGTGTTAAGTGTATACAAAATATAAGGTTAAAAATTATATTAATTGAATAGTAAAGAAACTTAAATATTAAAAGGCCGGTCCAGACCACAAAAAGATCGGTCTGGTTAGGGTCTGAGACCGAGAGAACCCTAAATACTTTTAGCAAATATTGCTGATATATAATATCATTATATTTAATTTCTTACTCTTTCATCGAAACTGTTTCAGCATTCCAAATTTCAAGTACCACACCATCAAATTCATATAAATCTAGAGTATCTATTAAAATATCAATGCAATTCTGCATGTCTTTCTCATTCGTAAATAAGGCTTTTAACAGATGTTTGTCCCAACCATCAAATAGAAATCTTGGAACTAAAAAGTGGGAAGATTAAAGAGAGACAGAGTATTAATCATGAAAATTTATGTGAAGGATAAATATGTTTTAAAACACCTTTAATCTATTCAAAGGTTTATTATTTAGGGCTACTTTTTGAAATGATATGATTATCATTTAAACACTATGTTTTTATTTAAACACTATGATTTTTAATTTTTTAAGATTTATTTCTATGTTTCATTTTTTTTGTTATGCTCCATTTTCTATGTAATAAATTCAAATTGCCATGATAATTAATATATGCTAAGTTTTATTTATACAACATTTTTAAATGAAGATATCAATAAGTTTACAGTCTCAGAGCCAAGACATATTTAACAAGGCCTCATAATTGTTTATTGACATAGATATAAAAAAATTTACCCAGAATTTAAAATTTATGTTAGAAATCAATAATATGCTTTCCTAAAAACAATAAATGGTTTGTGGAATACAAGTACCAATATTGCTTAGAGTCAACAAATAAGATTTTTAAAGATAATAACACACTACAAGAGATTAAGTTGTTGCTGTGGATAATGTAAAAAAAAACAATCCCTTAAACTTGAAAACAAAAAGAATTCAAATGGAAAATAACAAGTTTAGAATTGTGGATTTCATCTTATCAATGAGTTTGACAAAACAACATTACCTTTTAAAATAGATAATGTTGAATATTATATCCTAATAGCTGATAAAAAACATGAGAATTACAGAGCTGAAATTGATTATATTAAAAGATTAATTGGGGTATTTTTTAAAGATTTTATATATGAAACTTTTAGTTTTTGCATTGTTAATATATCAAAAGATGGAATGCTTGGGAGTTAAATTCCTATGCCAGACAAGATTGTACTTAAAATAAATATGTCATAACTATGTTTTTCATTTCTAAAAAAGGATCATAAATTATTTATTTTATAACAAGCAAGAATTTTTAGACCATAATTTTTTTTAAACATAGCTTTTTCAATTAATATATAGCATTTTTTAAATTTAAGCCTGGCCATTTAAGAATTTTTGCATAATTTGCCTGACCTATTAATTTTTGCCTGGCCAATCATAATTTTTTTTTAAATTTGCCCAGCTTGTTAAATATTTATAAAAAGCCAAGCCTGGCCCAGGTGGTTAAAAATTTTTTGTAGGAATTTGTATATTTTAATGTCTTTATCTAATTTTTCTCCAATGTCAATTTCTTATATTTTTCTTCTTTGGCTATCTATTTATAAATTTAATATTTTAGTTAGACAGCTTTTAAATTACAAAGAAATAAGTATATTGTAATTTATTTTCAAATAGTATCAATCAGAATATAGCTTAAAAAAATCAAATTATTTTAATCAAAATTCCTATGTTTGAGCTGGCCTATTAAAAATTTACAAAAAATCAGATATTTGTGAGGCCCTGCCAAACTTTACATACCTCTAATATAGCATTTTGCATATATCAATTCAAACCAATAGCAAATGATTAATTTATTTGAAAAAAACATAGTAAAACAATTATTTAACATAGCATCTAAATGATACACAATTATAAATGCTTGAATAATTTAATAAAAGTAAATATATGACATGTGCAATTTATAAAGTACTTATAAGTTTTACCTATTTTAATTTTATCATTTAATTTTCGCATATCTTTTAACCAATCTAAATTTAAATATAAATGTGGTAAAAAACTATTTTATAACTAATTTTTGTGTTATTGCCATCTTGAATTTTACATTTTGGTAAAATTTGATACCATACAGGGGATAAATAAGAAAATTTTTTTGGAAAAGTTTTTGCAACATCAAATCCATGAGTGTGTTCCACTAAGAAATAAAATAAATTACATTTAAAAAATTATATTTAACTGGTGTGATATATGCCAATACATCATTAGGAAAATGTTTTGCTAAACACTTATCACTTTTACAATATACATTATAATTTTTTATAATTTTAGGAATGTCTAAATTATCATCAACCAATTTTCTTTCATACACTGATTTTTTCGATGATTTAATCTGATATTAACATAATTTTATTTTATAAATAAATAGTTACCACATTTGTGTCACTTGGTTTTGGTGTCTTTTTGTCGCTTTTAGAGAGTGTGGAATGATTAAAACTAACGAGAGAAAAGAAAAAAAGAATAAAATTTAAAAAATGTTTTCCCATATGTTTTTAAACGTGAGCACCTTGCGATACACAGAATTTAAAATATTGAATCATGTTAAATACCAAATTTTCAAAAATGACAATTTAATATCAAATTAGGCAAATTAAACCTCTAGTATTATATTTGATTATTAACTTAATTCACAATTATGTTTCTGTATTAGATCAATATTTCTTAGATTAGTATCATGAATGGAATTAAAGATAAAATTATTCTAGTACAGAAAAATTGATCTCATTAACATATTTAAAAATTTATCAAGAGTTTAAACGTGTTAGATTGGATCCCACTAAGATACGTTATTAGAGCGCTAAACCCTTAATGTTGACAAGCAACAGAGCTATACTTGGTTTTCCTCAAATCCATTTAATTGAATATTTAATGTAATGATTAGCTACCTAACATGCAGATTGACAGATAATAGTCATTAATTTGGATCTTATGTTTTTAAGAGATGTGGAAAAGTTCGAGAATTATTGCTGGGGATTATGGAATGGTATCCTTATATTTGTTTATGATTAACTATATGATGTTGTTATCAGATTACGTATGATTAATAATATTTTCATAAATTGTTAATTTGATTTTAAAAGATTACATGATTCGCTACATATTGATGACTTTACGGGAAAAACCTGATCAAATGAAATTGAGAAATAGAAATGTATTGGATATTTAATTAAATAAAGTTTGACATAAGAGGGAATGGGTGGTGGCTAACAGGAATTCATGGATGTGCAAGCAATGAGGAATTATTAAAGAACCGTTCAATGGTTGACACCTTGTGGACTGTCCACGTGGGTACGATTGATGAAAATGGTGGGTGTAGAATTGTTTATGGTGACCGCAATGCCGTCCAAGCAATAACAGGATCCTCGCGAACCGTTCAAAGCTTAGCACCATTGGAATCATCTAAGGTTTGTGACTGCACGAGAATGTTTTAGATTGGATAAAGGAGTTGGAGGGGATATAGTGATTAGCTACCTAACACGAGGATTGAAGATATAATCAATAATCCGGGTAATATGATTTTTGGAGATGGAGGAAAGTTCAGGAATGATTGATGTGGATTCTGGAATGGGATAAGGATGTTTATTTGGATATTGAGAATATAATTGTATGATATTGTTGTCAGATTTTATGTGAATAATATTATTTATATAAATGGTTTATTTAATTGCAATAAGGATTACATGAATCACTACATTTAATCGAGGGGAAAAAAATGAGGAGCCCTTCACACGTTTGTAGGCAATTCGACGTATTTGTACGCGTAACAATCTTAGGACTATTGTAGGCTGATTAAAAATGAATTGGACGAAGAAGTACAGCTGACCATAAATTGTATATATTTATATTAAATTACTTTAAAAGGCAAATGGCCAATTTTGTTAAATGAGTAGATTATATTGTTTATAAATACTGAGCAAAAAACTTTATTGCCCATTGATGTTATTAGTAAGAATAAATCGAATGTAATGAAAGTAGAATGTATCTAGTATACATATATTTATATAAATTAATCTTGTCGAATCTTCCAAAGTTTGCACCGGATGCACCTAAAAACTAGATAGATGGTTTTGGTAATATTATTATTTTGAATATTTTCATGACATTTTTTTATTTTTAATATGCCTAAATTAATTAAGAGCTAGATTTCCCATTTGTGTTAAATATTATTTTGATTAGCGAATACATTTATATTATCTATATTATAATTTTCCGATGTCCTCACTATGTCATCGTGACGCCATGTCATCGCTACGTCATGTCATCGGTACGTATTTATTTTTATTTTTTTTATTTGTTGATTTTTTTTATTTTATTCATTTTATTTTATTCATCAGATGAATGGAATTGATGGTGTACACGTACCTAACATGGATGATTTTATTCCCTCAAATTTGTAAATATGAATGAAACTTTTTATTTCACTTAATCCTTTCTTTATTTTTTAGATTACCTTATCAATTTTCATCTCATATTATCAATTACACATTAATGAAACCTTTTTATACTCATGTTTTTTTTTCATAACCAATAATTAAGAAGGTAACCAAGTATATTCAAATATTTAAATATTCTTATCCTAACCTATTTATACTTAATAACATTACATTCATCATATTATTTTTTAACTTTTAGAATATCATAATAGGCTTGATAAGTCCCCCAAAATATTTTTTTGATGATAGCTCTCCAACTACTAGAAATATGTATCTAATATTGACCCATATACCAGTTTTACATTATTTTAATGTTTGTTTAATTTCAACAATAGTTTATTTATATTTTTGCCTGATTTCTTTATTTGTCTAGGCTAACCCTAATCCCTCACATTAATACAAAACATGATGAATCTATTATTAAAGATAAGCATAGAAAATAATGACGATTAAACAAACGCCTTACCCGTTCTAGAGTTACTGGTAGACAAAACAATAAAGAACTAAGCTTGAAATGAACTCATCTGGAGGTTTATTTTATTTTTTTATTTTATGTTTTATATCTATGTTTATTTTTTTTTCACCCAGTTCTCCAAATGATATTTCTATCACCACTACCACAATCCCTATGCCACCTCCGCCTATTTTTTAAATATAAACATTTAATTTTGTACTATCATTCACTTCACTAGGAGTTAATATAAATATTACTTTATTCGATTCTCTGAGAAACTTTCATGAATATTTAGAGGAATGTTCAAACTTGAATGTACAGTACGGTTAATTTCATCAACTTTATTAATGGAAAAATATGCAGTAGTTCTGTCGTGGCCTTTATAACAATACTTACGACCATTATATGGTTTAGTTAACATTGTCGTTCATTCTATTTTAGAGGGGGGAGCGGGAGGGGTAGGAACAGTTTGCATCCTATTTTTTTTTTTTAGGGGGTAGGGGGTAAGCTGCTTTAATGGGGTTAGGATCAATTTTTTTGGGGGTTATCTATTAAATTTTGAGATGAAATAGGACAAAATTTATTGTTGTAAAAATTAATACTTTTATTATAGAATTATTATAATACATCGATCAAATCTATATATTGCAAACAATCATACACATTGTTTTCCAAATAAAACTTTCTGCTATCCTTTTAAATTACATTTAAAAGGTTTAGATATATGAGCAAGCTCATAATCCCATAATAATAAATTCATTGTAAATAATGGTGGTTTTGATTGAATTTATTATCTAAAAAATAAATTCTTTATAAACACAAAATTAGTTAGTAGAGATAGATTAATTTAAGTTATCTTTATAAATTCTCTAAAAGGAGTATCAATATAATTATAAAGGTCATAATAAAAATAAAAAGACACCGCCGCCGAAGGGGGCGGAGATTTTTTAGGGGGGTAGGCAAAAGTTTTTGAAGGGAGTTTGCATCCAATGGAAATCCTGTCATGCAGACGCTGGAGGGGGATACCAATGCTGACATAGACAGAAACATCGTTTTGCGTTCATAGGCATATCAGGACGTATTGTGTTTTGTACACTGCTTTGGTAATCCGTCATTACTTTCATCTACAACCCTAAATGATATAAAATTATACATTAATTATTTCCTCTCCAGACGACCCGCCAGATTTATTTTGTCACTTTTTCCATCAAAAATTAAAATGTCGACAAGGATTTGCTCTTAATTTTATCAAATACATAATAAATATTCCTCATTATTTTTTAAAAAAATTATCCTAAATTTATATGTCAATAAATAAAAATATCTTAAAAAATATATAAATAATTTGCATATAAGTTTTATTAGTGTTTAATGGCATTTTTGTAATTTAAATAGACAGCATTTTTTTTTACTTAACATAAAAAAATATATATCCCTTATCAAATTCTTTGACAAATAATTTCAGAAATGCAAGACATACATTAAATTTATCTGAAAAACAACAATAACTCTATATTATAAAGAACATATTTTTTAGATATAATTTAAATGATCATATTACAAAAAAGTATAAGAGTCAGTTATTTTTATTTTATTTGTCATGATTCTCTTATAAGTGGTTGCCCAGGCCTTCCCAGTTTCCCTTAATACGGAATTTACATGTTTTTTTCCATATTTGACTAATTGATAAATTAGATATTTCCCGTTCATGTGATGATATTAAAAATTTAACTATCTCCGAGGCGGGAAAAAATTTTCAAAATAACAGTGGGTAGGACTGGGCTTGGAACCTCAAAATTAATATTAGCTTGCACATGACTTGGGAATATCTTTTATAAATTAATAAGGATTGAGCTGGGCTTGATAAACTTTTTTAAAATGAGAAGATCTTGGATGCTTCCTAATATTGTGAGCTTGAACATGGCATGACATCTATCGTATAAAAAAAATCTCATTCCCCGTCATTTTTGACGGGCTTTCTACTAGTAATAATTATAGCATAATATATAAACTTATGGGGATAACTCCGACCAAAGGCCTGTCAAAGGGTATTGTGGGGTGAAGTCCTCCATTGATTATATATAAATAGGGAAAATAAAGTTATAGACACTCTTAAAATAAATTAGTACCTTTTACCCTTTTATAAAATTAGCTATGTCCCTGATAAGTATATTTAATTATTACTTTGGTTTATGAGTTGTGTAATTGGAATATACTCATTTTATAGAATTTATATTCTAAAATAATGATTTATGAATAAAATAAGGTTTTGAGTTTGTGATTTATAAGATTTTACGTTCCTATTTTATTTAGAATGTAAGGTTAAATTTTTAGATGTGCAGGTGAAAGTGTTTTTTTATTGTTTTTTTATATTGCAATTTATTATGCAATCAGAGGCTCTATGACAGAGTAGGATCATGAATTCTTTAATTTAATATATTACTACCAAAATTATGACTATTTAATTTACAAATATTATTCGCTCTCAATCTATTTCAAGATATATTAATTATTGATATTGTATTTAAAAATCAAATACTTAACCAAATTTATTTTTCAAAACCTACCAATAATTGAGTATTCCCATATTGCAAAAATCTTTGGGTCATAAATACAACTTCTTAT